GTTCTAGCTGAAGGGCTTCATTTTGATCTGTTTGGAAGCAGGAAGTGCCTGTCTTTCTTGGGTGAATGACACTGATGTTCTCCCTGAGTTAGGTTTTTGCCGTGGCAGCAGCAGTGAGGACAGGCTTTGGAACGAGGGAGAAGAAGACCTGACAATGGCCTTCTGGACCGACCCTCTCAGAAACCATCTGCTTGGAGCCTTCGATTCTGAGAGGAGTGGAGAGGTTTCCTCTAGCTACAAGTTCAGGGATTCGGAAACCACTAAAATAATATCTTTTCCAAAACTAGTCCAGCAAGGCTCTAATTGGGAGAAATGGGAAATGGAAGTCAGGCTCCCCACTCCCTCTGCTAACCACACACAGGCCGTGGCTGAGGTCCATTTCCAAATCACAGGAGGCCACTTCCTGTCTTAGCCTAGCATCCTTGGCGGGAGAATCCAACAAGGGGCCAAGGCCCTGTTGACTCTGGGAGAGAAGCAGATGGCCACCATCCATGAGTAAGAACCTGGACTTTCATCTAGCCTGCGGGTTGAACTGCCTGCTCACAAGAAATCTAGGTTCAGAGCGTTCTAGGGCAGGCACAAAATAAGCAGGACAGAGATAAAAAGATGGGGGTGAGAATGAAGAGATTGTATTTTTCCTTCCACAGATGCCATGGGCAGGGGAGTGAAGCTGGGGCAGGGAGGAACTTATCTTCCCCAAGCTCCTAGACGAGGCAATTCTTATTTCTAGCTGAATTCCTTTTCATCTCTCCTGACTTCTTCTCCACCCTTCTCTATCTGCCTTGGCTTCTGGATCTTCTCAAAGCATCCCCCAGAAAAACTTCAGCCAACTTACTCCCTTTGACCAACTGTCACTTTTGAAAAGCTGCCCAGTCTCTTTGTGGTGATTTTCAAAGAGAGACCCAGGACTAGGTTTTCTTTCAGTGACAGCAATAGGTAGGAGGAGGGGGGAAGAAGACAGGAGCTTCTGATGTGGGAAACCCGCCCCCCCCACACCCCCTAAGAAATGCTGAATCTGTAATCGCAAGACAATATAACCTTCCTGACATCTGAGGAAGATGTCAAGAAAGAAAAGCAAAAACTCATATTTGGGTTGTAGCTGCTGGAGTTTTTACATTAGGGAGATCTGACCCTGTTTGACCTTGCCTGTCAAAACCAGAGGGTTACAGAGAAACTGGCCAAAGATATGTGGCCAAAAGGCCAGTGATAATGTGGGCAAAACTGGCCAAGCTGATCAGTTTGACACGTCAAAAGACAGATGTTGTCTGACTTGGGCAACTTGTGGGTGAGGGAAGAAATCCAAAGCTCAGCGTCTGAGAATGCAAAGGAGAGCCAACAATGTGAACCATCACCTGTGCTCCAGGTAAGCCTGCCCGGCCTGCGTCATCACTTATTCAAGCAAAGGACTAATAGCAGCACAATTCTGGCTTGTTAGTGTATGGCCTGAAATAGTGAAGACTTCGTTTCCCTTCTTCCCTGTGAACTTTCCTCGTCGCTATTCAAGACAGGTGCCAAATGTGTCATCGTGCTTGATGGAGCCTGGCGTTGGCTGGCTGGCCGTGATCAGTAGCTGACCACCTGACAGAAACACTTTCCCTAATTACATTTTTAACTTGGATTGTGCCACACTTAGTTACATTTTTGGGGGGAAAAGAAAGGAAGGGAGGGAAGAACAGTGAGTGAAAGAGGTTTGCGGAAAGCTTCAGGGCCAGATAGCACACGGACAGCCCACCTTAAAAATCAACATGTCTTCCCATTTGAAACTTAACTGTCTAAATGTTGACATCCAGTGAACAAATATTAATGAAAAACCCAAGACATTCAAAACTGTAAAAATGTCATCTTCCATTGTGTGAAATTAAAAAGCAACGCGTAGGGGAGTAGGGAGGTGGGGAGACACACCGTAGCCTACCTGTTACTGGTAATGAGCTTGAATTGTGGAAAGGCACTTTCTGACTTCATACCATTTCTTATATTAGTATGATGGTCAAAATTACAAAAAAAAAATCACTCAGACTAATGGTCTCTTCTGGGCAAGTGGCGAAGAACACTGATTTGGCTTGTATTATTCTCTGTACCTCTCCTGGTGTGGTGGACAGTTTGCTGGTACAATTATTTTGGATAGCACTTCATGTTAGGTATTGGCATGGAGCATCC